GACACAAAAACCAATATGCTCTCTCCAAAACAGGATCTTCACCTAAATCAGGTCCTTTTCATCATTTAGGATAAATCAGAGGAAAACTCTGAACATACCTAAAATCCCCAAAATACAACAGTGCTTCTTTAATTTATCCAAGAAATCTCTTTCTTGTTGCCCCTTTCTCTTCCAGCTCCTGTAAGAGCAGACGAACCAGCTGAATTTCTCCCTGCTTTTGCTATTTCTCAATTTTTTGCACCCCACAGGACCACCACAAACTTAGGAATGAAGACAGCAGAGTGCTGTGAAAGCTCCTCATTTCACTGACGCAGGAAAGGAGGAAAAGAAGAATCTGAGGAAGGCACACAGTTCCATTAAAGCATTATGAAGCCATATAGCTACAGCGTGCCATGAGAGCAATAGGAAAACTCCAGAGAAGACACCAATGCCAAAATCACAGCAGGGGAACTGGCATTAGGACGTCCCACTACAGTAGAAGCTGCATCCCAAAGCAGTAGCCGCAGTCTCGCAGGGCCTCTCATTTTCATCTCTTCAACTTCTGAAGAACTGAAGGGAAGGGCAGAGAATTCATCTTCACTGACCTCTTTTTGGCTTTCGTCCAGAATGCAGCGCAAGTACTGCTCTGACTTCAGCTCCACTATAAGCTGCACAAGAACTAGGCAGAAGAAATGGGATCAGTAATTCACATTGAAGAGCACTCACAATCCATCCTCCACAGGGCTTTAGCAGGCCAGTGAGCAAAGAGCTTAGCCATTAAATGAACGTGGGGCTGCTGAGAGTACAGGGTAACAGCAAAGCCCCAGTGCTATTAGTTCTGATAGCCCAGCTGAGGCTCTCTGCAGCAACATTACAGCAGCAATCCTGTTCTAGCAGCACCACAACCCATGCATAGAAATGATAAAGGGTCTATCAGGACATCAAGTAAACATAAGGAAGGAAGGAAACAAAGCCCAAATTTGAAACCATGAAAAAATCTGATACTTGAATAGAGCAGGCATCCTAAAGTATGAAAACTGGCCTTTAAAAACAGCCTTGCAGAGAAGGTAACATTACAGTCCACCAGACATACACATGTAGGTATCCACTACACCTTTCCATAAATTGAGGCCCTACTTATCTTTGTGACTCTTAACTGAGGCACAGTACAGAATATCACTCCATACAATTTCATAAAGCTAGTTTGGCTATATCTTCTTGTCATGGCATGACTCATTTCAAACAGGGCACACGGTACTCTAATACATTCTTTTTACTCTTATTCTAAGAAAGCATTAAAAAAACAAACAAACAAACAAACAAAAAAAACCACAGAGACTTCTAGATGTACCACTTCTTGGTATATCCAGGGCAATACTGTGAGTTTATCTAGGAGACCTACTTTAGAAGAAGGGCCAACTTTCTGAGCAGAGGGGTATCTTGAGGCAGATGATACATAGGTGCTTTAATGGCCCTTTCCTGCCTGGAACTCTCAGAATTCCTAAGAACTGTTCTATTTCTAAGAACATTCAATAATTAGGTATCATCAAGTTAAAATTCCTCTGTTTGAAATCATCCATCTATCAGCAGAACCACATCCTGACAGAAAGATCTCTCACCTTTGCAACGCTTTTCAAGCACGTGTCTGAAAACTGATACCTCCCTGAAAGGAGCTGGTTACATCTCCTTTCATCTCTCATGGCTGGACAGGAGGAAATTGCTGCTCTGTGAATATCACAAGACTCAGCAGAGACGCCCAAGGTTAATAGGACTGCAGACATCTCTTCTCAGCCCTGCAGGCGTTTCCAGATTACAAATGAAGGACTGCTAAGAGAGAGGAATCTAGAAGCTGTACAGCTACGTCCCAAATACTGTTTGTCCTGAGGAGAAAGCACTAGGTTCCAAAGCTCAGTGAAGCCAATGTGAAGATTTCCATTTGGTCAGGTTCAAAGATGGGGCTTTATTTACAAGTGCTACCCTTCTGATGGCACACACAGAACCCAAGGGAGAAATGCTAACGTTTAAATGCACACATACTTCACATGGATGCACCACAAAATACTGGAATGGTCTGCTTATCACTTTTGCAACTGATAGAAAATAGAAGCTCTCCTCAATTCAAGCTGTGCTGAAGCTGAGCTATCAGACAAGATGGATGCCTCTCACAGACCGCCACTGACTGGCACACAGCACCTGCACCTCACCTTCTCCAAACTGGTCCTGCGCATCGCTGTCTTCTACTGCATGACACATCCCTGAAAGATAAAGCACAATCAATTGCAGAACTCATTTTTGCCTGTGATCATTGGTGCTGTAAAGCCTTCTTGTAAAAATAGCTGCACATTATTTCAGGACCAGTTTCCCCCTGCTTCACAAGAGGCCAATCTGACTGTCAGAAGAGGCTGAATTCTGCAAAAGGCGCCCTCATAACCAGGAAAAAGGGGCACGAGGTGTACTGTTCTCTCAGAATTTTTTATGTGCTTTGTAGTTGAAGTCAGTGGCTCCACCTATGTAGGTAAACATGAAACTGCAAACACCATTGCATGGTCCATCATCATACGTCTGAATTACAACACTACAGAATGACAGGAATCAAAGCCCAGCTATGAGATGTCCTTCTTATTTTACCCTTATTCTTACTCACCAAGTTTTCTCCCTCTACAGTACTGAAAATGCCAATCAATTACAGCAAAGCTGTCCCCTGAAAATTTAACTGTGTACCTTTCCAGAGAGGCACACAGACTGATTATTTAAAAACAGAGCACTGAAATGCAAGTACACCTCTGTCTTCTGGGGTATTTGGTTTAGGATCCTACAGTGTAGGAGTGAACTGGACGTAAGCACTACTCCCTCCACATCTGTATAGGATTGTGTGCAGACAGCGCTCAATAAAAATTTGTGTGACCGAGAGAATGAAACCTGCACAACATTCTAATAAAGCTGTTTCCAATGCGCAAAGCACAGTTTGTGCTGGGAAACCAGCTGGGAAACGCAGCTTGAATTATTCAGTGTTGTGGCAAGGGAAGGGGCTTGTAAGTCACCTCGCACAAAGCACATATCTGTGATGTGCAAATGAGACTGTGGACTTCAAGGAACACAGTATAATTGCTCCTTGAAAGCATTTGCATTCATACCCTCCACCTTTCTCTTCCTGTCTGACCGTTCCCTCATTTACACTATCATTTCTCCTCTGACAGGATTTTAGATATTTCAAAGACCTTGCCCACAGCATTGCTGTGCAAACAGAAACAGTGAGGGATGTTCGAGATCTAAGGGACTGAAGCCACTTTCTGGCATCTCTCTGAACGCTGTGTTCTGCTGGGAGGCTGACCCACCAGGAAGAAACAGGTGTTGTAATCCTACAGCTAGAGGGATTTCAACAAATATAAAATGACAGTGGGGGAAAGAAATACTGTACCATTTGATATTAACTTCTGTAACACCCTTTTTAAGTTCACGCTTCCATTTCTGTGTGGATCTTCATGTAGTGCCACAAGATGAGAAAGCACTGAGGCATGAGACCAGAACAGAGGGTGTTCTGGGAAGAGTCATAAGCCAGAGCACTCAGTTCCCTGTAAAGACTTTAAAGATCTGTCAAGACGCTTAGGAAAGCTGTGGGAGCTTTATTAGCATGCCAGGTCTGCTCCCTGGGGAAGAGGGAAATTAATTGCCCTATTCTATTTGCAATGACAGACCCTTTTCCATGGGGAATAGCAACATGTTAAGGAGAACATTGGCGGAAGTATGGAATTGGGTATTTCAGTGGTCTACTGCCATTTTTGGGGGGAGTTGAATGTGGAGAAGCCTGCATCAGAGAAATCCCAGATATGTTTACAGACTGGGAGAATAACTCATTGAGAGCAGCTCTGTGGAGAAGGATCTGGGAATCCTGATAGACGAAAAGCTGGACATGAACCAGCAGCGTGCTCCTAAGGCCAGCAGTATCCTGGGCTGCACCAAAAGAAGGGTGGCCAGCAAGATGAATGAGGTGATTGTCCCCCTCTGCTCTGCCTTTGTAAGGCCCCACTTGGAGTATCACATCTACACCTGGCACCTCTGCATAAGAAAGATGTGGGGCTGTTGGAGTGGGGCCAGAGGAGGTCATAAAGATGCACAGAGGGCTGGAGCACCTTTCCTATGAAGACAGGCTGAGGGAGATGGGCTCGTTCAGTATGGAGAAGAGAAGGCTGCAGGGAGACCTCATTGCGGCCTTCCAGTACTTCAAAGAAGCTTACAAGCAGACGGGGCACTGATTTTTCACATGGGTGGATAGCTATAAGACAAGGTGGAACAGTTTTCAATTAAAAGCGGAGAAATGTAGACTAAACGTCAGGTAAAATTGTCACTCAGAAGGCAGAGATGGGCTGGCACAGCTGCCCAGAGAGCTGTGGGTGCCCCATCCCTGGAGATTCAATGATAGGTTGGATGGGGCCCCGGGCAGCCTGAGCCGGGCTGGGATTTGAGGTCCCTTCCAACCCAAGCCTACGCAAAGGGCACTCCTTGGTGCTGCGTTAGGCCGCGTGGGAGCTCTTACCGAAGAGCGTTCCTATCAGACAGAGGCAGCCCCTCTCGTCTGGAGCCAGCAGCTGGACGACCGGCAGCGCCTGCCACGCCAGGGCATCGCGCAAACGGGACAGCGCGTGCTTCTTCCGCACCAGCTGCGGGTGGAAGACAACCGTTAGCGCCAGGCCCGCCCCAACGCTTATGGCGGCAGAAAAAGCGTCACCCCGCGTGCTCCGAGTCCCTGCCTCAAGGCGGGAGCGGGCTGCTGGGGGTACCGAGGCTTAGACGGAAGGGGAAGCCCCACCGAGGCTCCGCCATCGCCCAAGGTCTCCACGGCGCACGCGAGGCAAAGCGGCGGCCGGAACGGCAGGGTCCACCGCGGGCCGTGCCGGTCGCGCAGCCGCTCGCAGCCCGCCGACATCGCCCCACGGCCGCTAGGGAGCGCGGTGGGCAGGGCCCTCGGTGAAGCCCGGCCCGCCTCTTCCCTCCGCCGTGCCCTCAGTTCCGGCGGCGTGCGGCCCGCTGCGCGCAGGAGCGTTGGGCCCCGGGTGTTCTCGCGCTGCGCTGAGAGCTGCACCGCGCCGCCGCCACCGCCGCCATGGTGAGAGCGGCCGGGGGAGATGCGGGATGTCCGGGGAAGGGTCCGCTTCCATGCCCAGGCAGGAGGCGGGCGGGCGGGGAGCACGTGGGGGCCGCGCTGCGTGGGGCTGCGCCGAGGGGCATCCAGGGGCGGGTTGTGGGCTGATATACGTGGTATACGTATGCATAGGTGCCTGAAAGAGGTTGTGGCGACGGGCGGGCAGCCTCCTCTTCTGGGTAGTAGCTGTAGGATGAGAGGTGATTGCCTCAAGTTGCGCCAGGGGACATTCGGGTTGGGTATCAGGAAGCATTTTTCAGAAGGAGCGGTGCTGCAGTGGCACAGGCTGCCCAGAGAGGTGGTGGGGGTCACCGACCAGGGAGGTGTTCCAGAACCGTGTGGATGTGGCACTGAGGGACGTGGTCATTGGGCATGATGGGGGTGGGCTGAAGGTTGGACTGGGTGATCCTGGAGCTCTTTTTCAACCACATGTGATGCACTACACGTGGTGGACTTGCTGCGTTTCTAATGTCCCTCGGAACAAACTTCTTTGCCCCTGATGTACTGCTCTCCCATCTTTTCCTTTCTCCTGTTTCTAGAGTGAGGCAGAGGTGAACCCCAAAGCTTATCCACTGGCTGACGCGCAGCTCACCAAGACGCTGCTGGACCTCGTGCAACAGTCCTGCAACTACAAGCAGCTACGCAAAGGAGCCAATGAAGGTGGGACAAGCAAGGCGTGCTGGGAATGCTGTGGGAAGCTGTGGCTGGAGATTATAGTTTTTTCTCCAGCTGTGAGCCGTGAATATTATTTTTCATAGCTCTGGCTGTCACGAGTGTCCCCCTCTTTCCTCCTCCTAGCTGCTTGGAGTGTGTTCCTGGTACATGTGCTGTGATCATTTGTGATGCGGCACTGGGATGACCAGGTGTCTTGCCAGCTTAAAATCATAAGATAACTGGGGTTTGAGGGGAGCTCTGTAGCGCAGTCAGAGAATGGCACCTTTCACAGCTGGATCAAGGCTACTCAGGGCTTCATCTGGTTAAGCTTTATTTGAGGAAAAAAAAAAATTCTTAAGTGTGGAAATTCCACAGTGTCTCCTGTGGCTTAAACTGCTTTCGTGCCAGAATTTTTTTCCCCTCGTGTTCCCAGAATTTCCTCAAGGCAACAGTCACAGTCTGCGACTTGTCCTTTATACTGTGTGCTCATGGGGATAGCCTGGCTCCATCCTTTCTGCAGTCTCCTTGGAGTGGCACAAGGCAGCAGTTATTCTCCTCCATACCCACCTTGGCTGGTTTTTCTCCAGTCTGCACAGATCCAGCTCCCTTGGTCTCATCTGCGGAGTGCTCCAGCTGCTAGCCCTGTGCTGGCCTCACTCCTTTGTGAATCTCTCAAGGTGTGGAGCTGGGTGCAGTAGCCTAGATGTGACCCTATGAATAGTCCCTCCTTGGGACCTGCTGTTGGCACTCAAGAGTCAGCCTTCTTCCTCTCATGGGTGCGCTACTGACTGCAAATTGTTCATTCTGGACTCGGAGCTGTGCTATTACATGGCCCTGTAGCTAACAGTTTTCTTTGGCCTGCCTTCTTGTTCATGCTGACTTCAGCATCTCTTAATGTTGTTCATGCGATGTGTTTCACGGAACCTGGACTTAGTTTTAGTTTCTTTTTACAGCCACCAAAACACTGAACCGAGGAATAGCAGAGTTCATTGTGATGGCTGCCGATGCTGAACCCTTGGAGATCATCCTGCACCTCCCTCTTCTCTGCGAGGACAAGAACGTTCCTTATGTGTTCGTGCGCTCCAAGCAGGCCTTGGGCCGGGCGTGTGGGGTTTCCCGGCCTGTCATCGCCTGCTCCATCACTATCAAGGAGGGATCGCAGCTAAAGCCTCAGATCCAGTCTGTACAGCAAGCTATAGAGAGACTGTTGGTCTGAGCACCTAGGAGTTTGAGTGTGTGTGGAATGGGTAATGGTGAAGTCAGGGGGGATTCATGTCTAGCTTTAGTTGATGACGTTATAGTTTTGATATCAGTGTTCCATTTAAAAAATCACGTTTTTGTTTAATAGTGGCTTAATTCTTAAAGTGTCTCTGCCTCTTCTCCCCTCCCTTTTTCTATTATTCCACTCCAACACCCATTCTTGTATTACTTCTTGAAAAGTGATAGTACAACTGTATTTACTGCTTGACGTTTAAAAGAAAAAAAATCCCTGCCTATCTCCACGTCTGTCTGCTCAGGACTTTTGTAACCTACCCACTAGCTTCCTAATACTTCAGCCTCTAACAGGTGTATCTCTCTGTTTCAGAATGGTTTACTCTATGGGGGAATAAGGTGTGTTGGTTCTGCAGCACATCACGTGTATTTGGGCTGCGGGAGTTGTTGCTTTGAAGTGAAGCAGCAAAGACCAAGCGTAGGACTGTGGCTACTGTGTAGCAGCTGGTAGAGCCAGGATCAGTACACATAGCACAACCCTCCCTTCAGATCAGGCAGGAGACTTCTCTAAGAGGTTATGGGGAGCTGAAATTGTATGGCAGTGCGCAAGGGGAAATCTCTAATTTCACTTATTTTTAAATGCTGATTTTTTTTTAAAGAAAATAAAATTACTGACAAATCTAAACACAGGAACGTCCAGAATTGTCATTCCCTCGGGAAAGCACTTGCTAACTGAAGTGTTCCTACTTGTGAAGCTGAACTGCTCAGAGATTGCCTTAAGGCCATCGTTGTGTAGTAGATGAATATTCCCTCCGTTTTCTTTGCATGGATTGCAACAGTGATCTGCAAAGTTTGGGCTTCTTAAGACATTTAAATATAAAACTCACTCTTGGATAGAGAGCAGCTCGCTGTGTCTGATAAGTACTGCACATCTGGCCAATGACTGTAAAAATGATCTCACGCTTTTAGAGAAGCTGCTGCACTATAGTTACGTGCCTGAAGATCAGCCCTTTAAGTCATGGCCAGGACAACAGTGGACAAAGTGATTTCTCAGATAAAACAACCCGTGACTCAAGAAGGCGATACATAATTTCATGATCTTGAAAAGCATGAATGCTCCACCAGCATTCTGGATCTGGGGTAGTTTTATGGAGCTAGCTGTAGTTCAGTGCATGTTGTGTTATAAATTCCATTTCTGTTTTGAGCAGAAATGTAAACCTCTGCGTTGGAGTGGATCATACCAAATTTGTCTTTTGCAGGATGCCTGGACTTAACAGCTGGAAGCTTATCCCCAGCATTTTGTCTCCTTGTGTGGCTGCCCAGCTCAGCTGTGCCTCCCACCTTTCTGAGGCAGAAAGGAAAACTAGAGTGGAAAGACCAATAGGTCAGCAGCAGCAACAGAAGGGAAAATAAGTTGTGTTAACATTCTCACAGTGGTACCAACTGCATACCTTTTGTTAAGTACATCTCAAGCAGATGAAAGCAGCTCACACAAGACTTATTGTATCTTTTTGTAAAGGGCTGATAAATTCATCTTAGCAAGAATATTACTGTCGTGTATACAAAGATCTCAGAGCCCTATTGTTTGTACAAATTTTGGAAAGCCTGCTGTTCCATCTACCAGTTCTGATCACTGAGCTAGTCATTTAAAACCACAGCTTGCCCTATCTGTACCGTGCCAAGACAGCTAATGTAACACAACGCACATACGAAACAGAAATAAAGGATTCCAGAGTAAATAAAGCTAATTTTCTGCTTTGAAGCCTTCCAACGCCAACCCTGGTAAACTTATGTTTAATGCAATAGCCTGCCTTAAAAAGAAGAAAGGGAGGTGTAATAACCTAGAAGAAACGTAATTATCTAAAGCCTGGAACATAATGTGCCTGGGGGTTAGCAAGCCAAGACAGAAGTTAACAAGGGCATCCAGGATAGGAAAACTCACAAAATTAAGGTAGTCTCATTATTATATTGCACTCAATTCAGGCCTTGCTAAGACAAGCATTTACAGTAACTTCTCCACCTAGGGGCAAAAAGGAATTTATTGCTTAGACATTTTTAATACCTATCATAATGTAAGCAGATTGAAAGTAAGACATGAGTTTCAGTCTGCAGGGCTCAGTATGTTAGCTGCTCTTTTGAAGCACTGCGGGTGGAAGTGGGCAGTGTAGTGGTACAGCTAGAGTGGTCGCAGTTCTCAGGCTGCTTTCAGCTGGCTCCCAATACATATTCTGCACTCACAGCACAGCCATGACCTTAATTTACAACTTAACTCTTCAATAAGTTTCCTAATGGAGTGTGCCAAACAGGAATCTGCTGAATGCAAACACCATGCAGACCAAAATAACTCATGTATTCCACGGCTGCGTTCAGTGCTAAGTTACAGGTCAGCTAAACAACTAGCCACAAAGTTATCATTTTAACTCATCTTGCGCTGCAATGCAGGTGGGACATCCCAAGGGTGAAAGTTTAAAGAACAAGATGTACAACCCCACATGCAGCTTCATCAGTATGATTTTAAAAACACTCTGAGTAACAAACAAGGGCTACTCTCCACAGTCTGCTACTTTTGGGCACAGGTTTTGGCACAGGAACTTGTATAATACTCTGACTCACACTTACTACAGAGGCGGAAAAGCACTATACCATCTCAGTAATTTAGCTTGGATAAGTGCTTGCAGTTTTCCACAGAACACATGACTTTTTTCTTCTTTACCATTTAAAAAATGAAGACCTGGCTGAGCAGCTCTATGAAGTACTGCTGTTCTGCCCAAAGGATTGGCTCCTGATCACTAGTAATGGTTCTCTCTTTTGTGATCTGCTAGTAATCTTTTAACACTGATGGGAGAAAAAGAACACAATTTGATTACAAGCACTGATGCTGGCAGCAAAGTAAACCACTGTGGTTACATGCTCTGTTGGCAGACAGACTTGATCTGCTGCATGTGTTCATGTGGTGTCACACAAATTATTTGCTTTCTTATTTAAGTGAATTTTGCTGTCTTTGTGATGAAAAGATGGTACAGTTGGTGTTGCAAAGAAAAAAGTCCAAAATAACTTTATTAAGAAACCAGAAAGGCACAACCGTGATCTGTGTGCAACCTGAGTTAGCAGGACATTTAATTCTGCTACTGTGAACAGTATCTGAGTTTGCAGAAATGCTTAGAAACTACAAGCCAGAAGTTTCTCCAGTGCTAGATTCAGCAACCATTGGCCTCCTCCTCTGTGGCAAGATTAAGCAAACTCAGAAGTCAAGTACAACAACCGCAACTTTAAGCAAGTGGAAGTCAACCATGGCCTTCCATTCCTGCTTAGCGCCCACTGAAGTATTCAGTCAGTGCATCTATGAGCTCCTGCTTCTTCCCCCCGCTCCTCAGCCTGTAATGCCTGCATGTATCCTTCAGAGCAGAGACAGTGAGCTTGCCCAGAGTGCCATTCTGCACGTAACTCCTCAGGGAATCTTCTGAGATTTCTGTCTTGGGCCTCTTTTCTGCTTGACCATCACCAGCTGGAAAGAGAAATTTTAAACCACCAAGATTTTTTAAAATTTTCACAATTGAAAGACATCAGCATTTCTTATACATACCAAGTTAACAGCCATTAGAATGATATTTTAATGGCCATCTACATACTCAGTGTTTTTTCTACAGTAGGTGTCAATATGTAAACTATACAGTATTTCACTTATAGCAGTGATCTCAAACTCAAGTACAAAACTCTGTGTTCACATAGGGAATTCAGCTGACACTCCTGCTTTATGCACAATTTTGCACATTCCCAAATCACAGTTAGACCTGAGCATTACTTATCCCCCAAAATGGTCATTTTGGACTTGCAAAATTGTCCATGCATAAATGTCTGCTTCCTCACCCAACATACAGACTGAAGGCATTAATTCCTTTTATACCACTCTGGGTTTTCACTAGGCAGTTTCTCATTCTAGCAGTTCTCCAGCTTGATACCACAGTATTCTCTGCTCCCTGTGAATCACTGAAAAACGAAAATGCAGAAGCCTCAACTGAAAATACCACAGACACCGTGCTGTGCATCTGCACTGTCATTACTTGCCTTGTTTTCGCTTTGCAGCTTTCCCTTCAGGGTTGTAGTCAGGAGGATAAACCAGCTGCTTGAACTCCTCCACCAGGTTGCCCAGCCTGCGGCTCATCTCTTCAGTCTTTGGCACTGGCAAAAGAGAAAGATTTGTCCCCTCAAGAAAAGCAAATTGCCTGATACAACTTTGCTTCTGTAAAAGCTACCATGCCAGCATCTTGCAAGCATGCAGAATGCAAAGAGCTTTGTTACGATAATCACAAATGAGAAATTCACAGCTCTTGATAACATCAAGGATTTGTGTTATACATACACACATATCCCTGAACTGTTAAATATATACACGGGGATGGTAGGAGTGACAGAGAAGATCTCCTCGTTGGTGGCACTGTGAGCTAGGTCTAATCTCAGACGTTTAAAATGCAACAGTTTATTACCTAAGGTTACAGTTTGAGGCAGAACTTGTTTCTGTCATGTATTTGTACAATATCTAGCAGAGGGTCCCAGATCATTTGTTAGATATCACTTCATATGAAACAAGTAGCTTCTCTAACACTATTCCTAGATTAGATTAGAACAAAATTTAAAACCAAACCAAATAAAACCTTTCCCTCAGGAGTAGGTTTGTGGCCTTTGATGGATGTTCTGAGAAATTGTCACAGCCACCAGGTGGCAACACTGCCTCCTGGCAGAATAATTCTGTAAGCTCTGCCTGGAATACTATTAGACTCTAGAAGACAGGAATTGCAGAGAAAATGTTTGTCGTCAAAAAAGAAAAAAAAAGGTGGGGGAAAGGGAGGGGAATTAAATTTCAATTTTGGAGTGTAAAGTGAAAATTTTTCCTTTCTCCTTTTTGCCAGCAGCATAAGAAACAAAGGTTTCTGCATTTCGTTACGGAAACATCCACAATTCTGCATCTTGGAAAACGACACCACTAAAACATTCTTTTAAAAGGCATTTGGTTTTGTAGCACCAAAACTCTGACTTAGAATAGACAAAGTCAGGAGTCCTCAAACCCACCTCCCCCCACATCTACCAGTAATTCTCACTTGTAAGATCCTCAGCTTGTTCTGGTTCCAGCATATCCAGCGCCAACGCCTCCAGATTCCTGAAGTGCTGCTGCAAAACTGGGTTCTCAAAGCTGTCAGTCCTGTCAAGAATCCGTCAGATTTTCAGTGCGTGCTGCCAGGAAGCTAAGACATAAGATCTGCCACCAGCCTATTTCAAAATCAAACTTCCCTCTTTCCCACAAATCAATCCACCTCACCAGAAGAATCACTTATCCTCTTTTCAGTTTACCTGCTGAGTCACCATCCTGTCATGTACCAAATGTGTTAGGTAGCTGTGGGAGACTTAGAAAGCCATGTGAGATAAACAGAGAGACTGGCATTCTGCACTACCGTGCTTTTTATATACGATTTTTTATGTCCCACTTATTTTAGTGTCCCATAAAAGTCCCCCTCCTGAAATTTATCCTGGTTATGACAAAAAAGGCCCAGCTATTCTCTCTAGCACACACTCATTTGAAAGATCCAGGCCTGATCTGCAATAGATTGGACCATTAAAATGTGACATCTGCAACAAATTACAACAACCCAGAGAACAAGAGCAATACTATGAAAAATTCCAGAACATGCT